AAAAAATCAGACCTTATCCGGGGATGGTTCATCACTATCCCCCCCCCCTTAAAAAAGCTGAACGTATTACTCCGGATCGCGCCTATAGAGCTGCCTGTCTATGCCTCCTGGGGTGTACGTACCCTGGAGGTGCGCTGCTATGTATGCGGAGCCGCCAACGCACACACGTGTGCATAGACTACAATACTCGCGACCAAGGAAAATCGACAGCACTACAATCGTCTCTGATAGGATATGTATGCATATGATGTCAACTCCTCATATGTAGAAGATGTTGTTGGTCAAGAGCTCAAGCACAGGCAGCACACGGGCGAGGGTAGTAGAGAAGAGCTGCTATTGTAGACATGTGCTGAGCCTTCGACGTACATATGGCTACGGCAGCGAGCGAACCCCTTTAGATTCTATACATCCAAGCTGCTGTTGGAGAACATGCGAGATCACCCGCATGAGGTGTATCTAGGGGTGGGTAGAGAGCGTCCGCATTGTAGATTCGCTGACTGAGACACCACGAACGAACTCGTTAGCCTTACATCGTTTCGGAGATGTTCCTCGGCTTGCTCCGGTAGAGCTCTTTGCTCTTCGTGGGCTTACATCGTTTCGGACATGTTCCTCGGTTTGCTCCAGTAGAGCTCCTGCCTCTTCGTGGCCGGCCGCCCTCTGCATCGTCGCTCAAGTCTTGCGAGGCGGGGCGGTGCTGCGCTTCGTATGCATACGTACGACCTGATACGTACTGCTGTCGTCGTCGGGACCCTCCCCTCATCGCTTCGCGGTGTGTGTTTTTTTGCTAACCGGCTGACCAATGAAAAGACGCCAGTCTTATTTCGGTTGGAAACACCAAACTACCAAACTGCCTTGTTGAGCCTGTTACCCACAGGGGAGGTATCATTGTATGCTGTCTGGGAAACCGTAGACATACAGGTAGCCTTTCGCTCACGCTATGGATTCATTGCTAATCTATCTTAGACGTATTTCTGTAGATAGAGATGGATTTGTTGTGTGATACTAAGAAAAAAATACAAAACACTTCTACTACCATGAACTGGTTCTGGTGGTGGCAGCAGCAGCGGAGGCGTTAGGAGGACAGCAGATAGCGCCGTCGCCGACCCTGTTATCATGGCTTTGCGGGGTGTCGGGAGAACCCGATCCAGGGTGGTGACAATTCAGCCAGCTGAGCCGGTGAGATGCTAGTGTCGCTAGAGGTTTCAGTCAATCAACAGCACAGCAGATTAGTTGTCGAGGTCTACGTACAATGCACTCATCAATCAACGCATGCGGTATTTTCGCCGACACACGAATAATTGCGCCGAGGTTTTTTAATTCCACCGAGAGGATCGAGTTGCATGAAACGTCGCATAGTTCTACAGCGAGAGCTCGTCTATGTCAGCTCCCACGGAAACTAAGCGCCCAATTTTGTGTGTGCAAATGGTCTCCCCATCAGTCGTGCCTTGCGCTGATGTATTATTGCGTTGCGCAACGTCGTACCCCCCGCCTCCTCGTTCGTCATGTGTGCACACAGACGGCGCCGGTCGACTGGCGCCAGCAGTCTACGGAAACGTTTCTCGCGTCCATGGACAGCACGGGGTATGACAACGCGCTGAAACACTTGGAAAAAATCGGCTCGACGTTTGCAAAGGACACCCGTAAACGCTTGCGAGGGTTGGAAGACAAGGTCAATACAGCAGTCTCGTTTGGAGCGAGCAATCGAGCAGGCGCAAAAGAAGCGTAGGCGCAAAAGAAACGTAGAACCAAGGAGGGAAGCCGCACGTTGCAAACGATCCTCACCGCTGCGGCCTTTCCTGTGGACGGCGTAGACGAGGTTCCATTATTGTCGGCAGCACGTAGGGCGAAGACGCTGGGGGTTCGCCAGCACGCCTTCAACTCTGCGGTGGAGCTTGCTAAGAATTTGCTGTCCGATCTTGATCCAACCGACGCGATAAAACGCGGTGTCTACTGGTTTTGGGCCCGAACTAAGCAAAACAATGCCGCCAGCGAAGAGCTGCTGGAGTTGATGAGGCAGTACTGGCACACGGACGAGGTGTCACGCCAGCATGGCAACTCAGCTGAGCGCGACATGTGGAAGGCGAGTAAGTCTCCTACAGCTCACCGCCACCCTCGGCGGCAGCTCACCGAGCCGGGCGGGGGCGACGCGGTGTACGCCAAGTTTCTCAACTGGGCGTCCTACAAGAGCTTTAAGGAGCGACAGAGCGACGACTTCACTCATGACCCTGGCCGCACGCTCTTCCTCTCGACGCGGTGCAAGTGCCTGGTCCTCCCTGCTATGGAGCAGTGCGCGTGCAAGATCCACTCGCAGCAGGTGCTATACATCGAGGCCCTGGCCAATGTCGACATGACCAGCCACGGGGAATGCCGGTGTCGATGGTGTAACGCAGATGGCGGCAGCAGGTGGCGGGAAACGTGGAAGCACTTGGGCACATTCTCCGATGCGATTTCCTGCCCCAAGGTCGACTTGCAGGCAGTGAACCCGGAGGGTGACGGTTGGATGGGGCGGAAACCGGAGTGCAACGCTTTGGACTGCGCGAAGTGTGGGTTCGGGGGGGCTGACGGCATTCCCATCTGCAGCAAGCTAGAGAACTCCGAGCAGACGGTGGTGTGGAAGATGTTCGAGGACGTGATTACTGCGCCTGCATCAGCGGATGGGAAGATCAAGGCCAAGAAGCTCGCCACCCAGACCGTGCCCAAGGAGGGTAAGCTCTGCGATCTTTGGTCGGCTTTCAAAGAGCATACCAAGCGGTACATGGCTCACCACTCTATCGCCAAGTGGCAAAGGCACTGCCACGGGCGTTGCTTGGGACGTTTCAGGACGGTGACCTTGTCATCGAGACCGACTTTGCCGAGAAGTACACCCACCAATCCTTCATCAGCATGATCATGCCGGTTTACCCGCAGACAACGCTCATGGTGGCCATCGTACACTTCAACCCGCAGACGCACGTGGGGGGTGGCAGTGTGCACGTGGCGGAAACATGATCTTTGCATCTGAAGACGTGGCGCATGACTGAGATTTCCACCTGCACGGCTTGGCCAGGATGGCGGGCTACTACCTGCGTGGAGATGGGAGCGAAGCAACAGCTGCCGCCCGGAAAGAAGGCCGGACGCCCCGGATTCACATGTTCACGGATGGATGCGGGAAGCAGTACAAGGGAAGGCGGAATTTCCGCTTCTTGGCCGACAGCGTGCGGCAAATCGGCTTCTTCATCGACCACCACTTCGCGGCCACATCTCACTTCAAAGGTTGCCATGATGGGATTGGCGGAGTGGCAAAGAACGCCATGAAGAGGAGGGAGAGATTTGGTGAGCGAATCATGGGGGCGGACGGGGTGGTCAGCTTTTTGCGAAGCTTCTTTCGGGAGAAGGCAGGCAGCGAGGGGGAGGAGGGTATGCGGAAGTATTTCGCGAAGTGGTCTCCGTACTGCATGCGGAGGGTGCACGTCGAGTTGATCGGCAAGAAGGAGATATATCGACCAAATTCGGTCCTGGTAGGCATAGAGGGTACACGAGACATGTACCACTTCGCGGGAGTAAACACTCCCAGTGGGATGGGTCCACCACGACCGAGGGGCGCGAAGATGACTGCAAGCTGGTACGAAAGAGCGAGGGGCGGGGTAGCTTGTCGAGTCAAGTGAAGAGCAGGTTGCGGGAAGTCAAGGTGTTGGGAGCAGTAGCGAGCAGATGGAAGGGTAAGGGGGCTGGGCTGCAGGATCCGGTGTCGGGGGAGGAAGACGTGACTTGCAGAAAGGTGAAACGGACGTACAGGCTCAGGACTCGGCTGGCGTCGTGCTTCTGCTCGGCGTGCCAGCGTTGCGAGTATGAGCAGTGCTACGTCAGCAAGACGTACCCACGTCTCGTTCCCGCATTGCACGAGGGCGAAGTGAAGGAAATGGTGATCATGGACACTGGAGTAGCGCCCGTAGACAAAGATAACTCCCGGGGGATCCAGTTCGGGAGTAGGAGGAAGGAATGCATGGTGAAAAGAATGACTGGGACACAATGGCCAGAATGCGAATCTGCTGCTGCGTCAAAGATTTGGAAGAGCTTGGTAGGAAGGACGAGCCCAATATTTTTGCCCGTTTTGGGCGGTGGGCTGGTTTTTAAGTGATGTGCTTCTTGCATTTGCTTGTGGAGCAGTAGGTGGGGTTCAAAGCCCGTTTGAGGTACAACTTGGGGGTGTGGGGGGCGGGGGGTACCCGAGAAGATGTGAATAAAACTTGAAATAATTTGATTTTCTTCAAAGCGAGATGATGCTGCCAAATATGTGCCTGTAGCTCAACACCAAAATGGTACTGAAAAAAAACGACTACGGATTCGTAATCTCCACCCCAAAATTACCCTGACCTGAAATTTTCAGATCGATCTGACCACGTTTGAAAAGGGGGGATTTTTCGGGACCATCCCCGGGGTTTTGCGTTTTTCGAATGCCCTGGGTAAAAAACGGAATCTGAGTTGAAACCCGGCCAAAAACAGTACAAAAAAAAAAACGTATCCACTATTCACATCCACGGGGTAGTATGGTCCGTTCGGGCAAATAGTCACAATCTTGTTTTTCGCGATATCTTTCGAAAAAAAACTATTTGGAAAGT